AACAATGAAATGTGTGAAATTTTAAGTAGTCGTAATAGGCTGATAGGGCTTTATAATATTTTAATGAAATCTTGATAATTGAATTCCTCTCATTATGATATATTGATTTTAAAAAAATCATCAAAATCGGAGCCGTAGAAGCCGAGATATTGAACGCCGAAGAGGGTACGCTCTTTTTGAATGCGAAATTTCAATTTCTATCATCCATCCCCTCCCCCCGGTTTTGCGGCTCAAATGGTCGGCTTGGCGATATTCATTGAATTTTCATAAAAAAGGCACACCTGTGATAATATTTATAAAAGCACATGCGAAAAGTTCTTAAAAAACCTACCAAATTTATATTTTGTTGTTGTTACATTATGCATAGTTTTGCAGCTAACGCTTGTTGACTTTGACACTCGATATCTCGAAATTTATACGACCGATTTGAACGTTCTTTTTTTCAAGTTAAGCGTCTTTCCGAGAACTGTTTTTTAGTACTTTGTTATATGTTCCAACCAGCAAAACCGCTTCACGAAAGTAATTGTTTATAAAGTCAAAATTTTTCTAACTTTTAAATTCGCTCCAAAAATTATTCAAAAAAACAAAATTGATATTCTAACGATTCTATATGATTGTTAAAGGGTCCAAGTAAGTGTAAAAATATCAGCGCAGATTAAAATGCCTAACTTTAACTCCAGCACTAACGTAAAAAAATAACATTTCGCGCTGAAATTTAGTAGTAGAATTGTCTCATATCAATACTATCAGACCGATTTGGATCGGGTTTTGGAATTTCGTTTTATAATCGTTTAAAGTGCTTACATCTACATTTATAGTAGAATTGTACGATTTCTTGCCTGTCAGTTTGACGCTTCCAAAGTACCTCGATTTTCATCACTTTCTTACGTTGTTTTGGCTATTTAGCAAGAAAAATATGAAATGCGCAGGTATCAAAACAATTCTATCTTGTAGCAAATTTCATAACAAATAGTTTCATCAGTAATAGTTTTTTCTGTAAACTGCATATTTAAGAAGTTATGTTGGAAAATGTTACAAAAAACACGTCATTTTTGAGTATTTTTGCAGTTTTTAATTTTTTCCTAAAATAGCACAACTTTTTTTCTTGGCGCAACCTTATATATTCATTGTATATATTATTTTCGACCGATTTTTACTAATATCCAAGTTACGTCAAGCAACAGCCATGTCAATGTGTAATTCTCCTGGACTATATCCCCTTACCCTATTGGTTTGTTTAGCACTGCGAATACGAGACTCTTGTGTCTGCTTCACTTTATTTTCGGCTTTGCCGGAGCGCAAAATGTTTGTGAGATCTCTAAGGAGTACCTGGCATGAAAGCTTTACTAGCTTGTATTTGTGAGGCTTCCATAAAGTACCTGGTATGGAAGCTTTAAGACCTTGTATCTCTTAGGACCTTCATCCTGGGTAGTTAGGAATGTTCTGTGATCCTGGACTACTAGAACTATGGCCTATGACGTGAGCGTAGAGATCGATCGTCAAAATTTTCGTGAAAATTTTCTACACAGTTTTGAAATTGTAAAAGTTTTGGGATTTATTACATCTTTTTTCTAGAGCCCGTAAAAAATTTTTAAAGTAGTTTTGAATTTGTAAAAATTGTGGTATTTATTGAAATTTTTTTTCTTAATTTAAAATAAATGAAAGCCATAGCGATATAGTTGTATACAATGCAAAAGCAAAAGTTTGAAGCATACTAGTGTACCTACTGGCCGCCAGATATCCGTCCCTGCAGGGTACTTGGGTTTTTGTACTTAATCTATGCTTGGGTTGACGTTCGCACACGCTCCAGGCTGGATCCGCAAGGGTCCCGCAATGGTCTTCGCGTTGAATTCTGGAATTTCGTTTTTTAAAAAAACGGTCTTCTTGGAATAGTGGCCGTCTCCCGTAACTGATTTTGGTTAATACTGACCATTATACCGTGTTTCAGTCCAAATTTCGAAATATTTATATATAATTTTAATAATTATTAATTTTTTAGTTTTAAACCGACGCGCGTTTATTTTACCTGAACAAGTAATAAGGATGAATAAAATAAAAAAATACTTTTAACGAAACATATATTTTAATAATAGTAAACTTTGCAAAGCTACAAAATAAATATATGGAATATAATGTGCATACTGTCATCAAGTTTTAAAATTATGCGTTTTGATAAAAAATAAGTCTGAAAACTCAGGGTGAACATTTAATATAATTTTTTATCCAATATAGGTACAGATCTAAAAATTGTCAATACTCTGATACATTATTAAAAATTAGACTAGACACAAAAATACATAAAATATTGTATAAATCTTATTTTTTTTATTCCAACTTTTGTTTATATTTAACACACATCAGGATTATACATTATAAAATCCTTGTATATTTTGGAAAAATGTTAGCTAATAAACAATGTAAATAAATACATTTTTAACTGTAAAAGTAATTCAGAAAACTTTTTAAAATTACAAATAAAATAAGCCTCCTGGTGAGCTACAAAAATCACTTCAAATATTTACCTATTAAATGTAATTATTCTTTGGCTTGAAAAATTCAAATAAAAATATTTTAAATTATTTAAAAATCAAACGATGACGAACCATTTTATCCCAGATAGTACAAAAACACGATTATGATGGTGGAGTGTCCCTTCATTTGACTGCAAAACTTTTATGTTTGTGTTTTTGGTTAAATTGAACACAAAATAAGGTTCAAATCAAACAGAGATCAACCTCAACTTCTTATAAAGATGGCCTACTGACAAATGTTTTTTTAAGTATCTTCTGAAACAGTTACGAAGGCATCAGTACCAAGTTTAGTGTACAAGTCATCGATAGCCGATAACGTGTACCAAATATGGAATCAATACAATTATAGTTTACAAGATATTTAAAAAAAATCGTCAGCAGGTCATCTTCAAACTGTTATATTTTCGCAAGTTGAGATTGATTTCTGGTTCAATGAAAAATTTTTTTGTGCTAATCCACCAAGGAACAACATTATAAAGGTTAGTCAGTGGATTTAAGTGACACTATATACAATGAATAAAATTACACTAACATGAAATATGAAGATACACTCTTTTTTTGCCAATGGTGCTTAATGTTGACTAAAACTGTTAAAAAATTTATTTTTTAGAAATTAATCAATATTTTCAAAATGTTCTTGAGAATATTTTAATTTATTTTGTAGTTATTTTTTACCAGATACTTAAAATTCAATTAGACACAATGTCCCGCAATTAAATATTTAAAATTTCAACTAAGTTACACTAACACCATCGGCTACTGAGGACCATTTGTGCAACTCTGGAAAAGTTATGACTTAATCATGTGCAATGCAGTCAATACTCCCAGTGACGTTAAGAAAATTTACAATCTTACAAAGCTCCCTGTGAGTATATTGTACATTTTCCCCTAATTTTAGGAATTTTGCATAATTTCGACTTTGTGCTATAGTTCATCAAGTGATTCTATTATTACACAACTAACCATGGCCTGAGCTAACTTTATTGGCAGATTCTATGTCAAGAAACAAAAAAAAAACTGTTTAAATATGTGTGGAAATCCTTGGTTTTCGATATACATGTGTTGAAATTTAAATAGAATAGATACCACATTTATTTAAACATCTCTTAAGAAGCTTGATGTAGATTGATGAAACTTGGTCTATTGAATTAACTAATTATGAGCCACAAGCTGAGTTGGTACACAAATCTGGAAACTAATGGCAGAGATGCTGGGAAACACCATCACTAAGAAGTTAAATAAATCAAAACCAATTCTAAGACTCACAACAACAAATTATAGGAATTTCTTTAAAAGAAACGCATTTTAAATACAAAGTAATAAAAAAATAATCTACAGGGTGGGCCATTAGTGTGAGAAAGTAAAATTACTCCCTTGTTACTCATAATACAGAAAAAAGGTTTATATGAAAGTTATAGAAAATCAAGAAACCTAAACTACAAAATTAATTTTATACATACAGGGTGATGAGTAAAAGCGGGACACGCCAAATATTATATTTTTTAAATGGCACACCCTGTATATTTTTTAACATGGATTTCCGAGAAAATTCTATATATGACAATACAAACAGTTTATCATTTTAGTGCGGGGTTACCAAATTATGTAAAAAATTCTTCGATTTTGGAAAAAACATGACCTCGAAGAAGTTGTATTAACTTTCAGCTACTAACTCTTGGAACAAAATAATTAGACAGAGTTATAGGCAAATGTGAGACAAAGGCTCCTATATTAGCTAATATCGATATTTTATACAGGGCATTTTCTATAATACGATCATTTTTAGAAAGTTTAAACTTGATTTTCTTAAATTTTTCAAATGGAACACCCTGTATTTTATCGTTCTATTTTATTCACATATCGCTGCAACTTTTATTAAGCATGTTCCATATCTAAAATTGTCAATTTTTAAGATATAGCAACATTTCTGAAAAAACTTTATTATTATTTTATAGAATTCCACAAATAAATATTAACTAATAAAATTAACTCAAATGGAATGATAAATTATGAACTGACAAGTTGACTAACAACTTTAGGTGTAGAATATACTTAATAATAATTGAAGTATTGATATGTGAATAAAATATAACAATAAAATACAGTGTTCCATTTGAAAAATTTTAGAAAATCAAGTTTGAGCTTTCTTAAAATTATCGGATTATAAAAAATGCCCTGTATAAAATATCGATATTAGCTAATATAGGAGTCTTTGCCTAACATTTGCCTATAACTTTGTAAAATATTTTTGCTTTAAGTGTTAGTAGTTGAAAGATAATACAACTTCTTCGAAGGTATGTTTTTTCCAAAATTCGAAGGATTTTCTACATAACTTGGCAACCCCGTACTTTAATGTTAAACTGTTTATATTGCTATATATAGAATTCATTTCCATTTAAAAAATGTAATATTTGGCGTGTCCCATTTTTACTCATCGCCCTGTGTATTTCAAATTAATTTTGTCTTTTAGGTTTCTTGATTCTGTACAACTTTTATCCAAATTTTTTTTTTCTGTATTATGAACAACAAGGGTTTTATTTTACTCTCTCATACTAATGACCCACTCTGTATAAATAATAACAATAAAAAAAATTATTGGCATAGCAATTTCTAATTTTTTTAGGGGGTTACTATTCCACAAACTTTTCATTACTATTTAAAACAACAAAAAATTCATATTCAAAAAGAATTGAATATGTTTAGTTATTTTTTATTTGTCGTAAACTTATTTCAAATAAAAAAAATTACTGAAAAAACGTTCGTTTTTAGAATGAAGCGAAAGATAACGGGATTTAAATGCACTTACCTAAATTTCTGATATGTTCAGTGACGATGCTTTCCAGTATATTCGGATTTGTGTAGGCAACTCAGTAAATTGTTGGCCGTAATTAGTTGCACCCTTAGACCAGGTTCAAACATATTAAGAGAGATATTTATTAAATAAATGTGATATATCTTTTAAATTTCAATGCCCCTATTAAAACGTGGCAGATATATATATATATTTGTCTGTGTATGGAGGATATCCCTAAAAATCACTTTAACCAGAAACAAAGTTTCAATTTGTTTGTAAATTAGGTACCTATTTTTTTTACAAATTAATGTCATATAGTGTCATATATTACATCTTTTCTGAATAGAAATGGTTTTTTTAAATTCCGTCTCGGTTTTTCATATCTCGGATATATCTGCAGCAATTATTAACGTCACTTTTAATTCAACTGTAAAAATAGTTATATCTAAATCTAATCTCTAGATTTGTCGTTTGGAGTAACTTTGGAGATGCCGTTGAAAATTTTTCTCTACATTTTCTACAAAATACTAACAAATGCTGCCAATTGACTACGCATACCCGTGTAATAGCGTCATTACCTAATTATCATTAAAAAACTCCTAAAATGAAACATTAACACCTAAAGCATCCAATTGTCCAGCAATCGGACCGAGTTAAAAATACTTTTATACTATCCAGGATGTTTGGTAGAGCAAGGCAATAAACCTTATTTATGCGCTAGCTTCTGAATAAATTAACTATAAATATTATTAAGCTGCTGCGTACATCTCACAAACGTTGCACGTCGTGGCAATTCCTTCAATTTTGCCGCCCCTGTATATGTACAGGCACTACGAAGACCTCCTAGTATGTCGAGAACCGTACCTTCTACATCGCCCCTGTAAGGTACCTCGACGGTTTTTCCTTCAGAGGATCTGTATTCAGCAACGCCACCTAGAATTTGTGGAAGAAATAAGGAAAGTCATTTATACGAAACCTATAATCATACCGGCATGTTTCTCCATAGCGGTACTGGAGGACATTCCGTAAAAAAGTTTAAATTTCTTCCCATTTTTTTCAATAATGTCACCTTCGCACTGGTCGTGTCCTGAGAACATACCCCCTGCCATTACGAAGTCTGCTCCAGCACCGAAGGCCTTCGCTACATCCCCAGGGCAAGTACATCCGCCGTCCTATTAACCAGATTTATTAAAAAAATAATTTTCAATAAATGGAGACGACTAAGTTTTACTTACGGATATAATGTGGCCTTGAAGACCGTGCGCTGCGTCAGCACATTCTATCACAGCTGAAAGTTGGGGGTACCCCACACCAGTCTTCATGCGGGTGGTACAAACCGACCCCGGCCCTATTCCTACTTTAATGATGTCAGCTCCGGACAAAATCAATTCTTCAACCATTTCCCCTGTTACCACATTGCCCGCCTTCAAAAAAGTTTAATGAAAACAGATAATCAAGTACATTTATTTTATACAGGTTGTCCGAAAGCGAATGAGCCTTGCTTTAAGGGTAATTTACAAACCGGTATAGTTACTCTATTTGATTGGGTATTTCTGCTACATTGGAAAGAAAAAGTTTAAATAAATGCATCAAAAAGATCCAACCAATGGATTGATTTTAATAATTTAGTTTTGCCTAACCAGAAAATCTCCCACACTGCAAAAGTAGGTAATAATTCTACATAATTATACAATAACCACTAACGGTTTTGAAAAACTCTGTTTTCGTTATCAAAAATATGCCACAAATAATGAATTACAGACAATATCTCAAATGGATGTACATTAAGTTCTTTTAATACATCTTTGCTTCCTAAAGAAGTTTCAGGCCACCAAAACATTATTTATTTAAATTTTTTAAGACATTCCATCATTTTTTAAGATACTTTGGCGAAATTTGGTTTTTTTGAGGTAGGTATAGAAGATGAGTCATTTGTTTTTTTTGCCATATCTTTTTTGTTGGAAATGGGGATGATCTATGAAATTCCACTTTATTTACTGGAAAAAATGTATACTCATTGCTTATCGTTAAAATGTATTATCGCAGTTATGGAGAGCTCATTATTTGGTGGTATTCTAATCTAATTAAATTTCATCCTCTTCCAAACATGCATTTAACAACCCAGCATTCCAACAAGCATTTATTAAACAAAAAATTATTTAATATAACTTTTACTTCGGGCATTTTCTTTGTATTACAATCATTACATCAACTACAAAGTAATACGTTTAAAAACCCTTAAAATTTCTTTTGAATGAATATTTAAAAAATAAAATTTCGATGTTGCAACTTTATGCATTTGAAAAATATTCTTGAAAAAGTATTTTTTGAAGGAAACAAGTATCGACCCACCCTGTATGAGAATAGACATAAAAAAATCCAATTACTTACAATAATGGTATGTGTGGGGAACGCAGATCGAACTTTTCTGACATACTCAATGAAATGCTGAGAATAACCGTTGGCAACATCTAAGCAGATGAAAGTTATTCCCTGGATAGCATTTAATACGTCGGATAATCTAATAAAGTCAGCGTCTGTTATTCCAGAACTGGCAGCTATATTTTTAAGACAATCAGGATTTTCATCGGCAAACTTCTTCCAGTCTTCTACTGTGTAATATTTGTGCATACATGTGAAGAGTCCATGCTAAAATGCAAAAAAAAGTAATATCCAAAATGTACATCGTCAAAATTGTATCACGACTAAAAAAAGTTGGCTTAGATTATTTGAATTGGGGGAATCACAGGAAAAATGTAACTGTCTACATTTAAAATACTTTCATTATCTATTATCTGATTTAATTTCTGAAAAATGCCAACCTTAGAGAGAGCCTTGGCCATTTCAAATGTGCCAACAGTGTCCATATTTGAGGCCATCACTGGAACGCCATTGTATGTTTGCTTAGAGTTCCTAAATGTAATATTTCGATAAAGATTTACCTGAAAAAGATATTTATTATCAGACTTAAAAATGGATCCAAATCAAGGTTTTAGTGGGATAAAGATCAATAAGTAAAAAAAACACTGTATTTCAAATCATTACCAACATCTCAGTGTTATTTTACACCTTCCTCAGGGCTCGAAATTCGAAGTGTCTTTTGTCCAAATTAAAAAAAAAATTTGTTAATTAGGGAAACGTAATTAAAAATGTGTTTTTATTTCAATATCTTGCAAATGTTCCAACATTCGATAATAATCGTTTTTGTTTTAATATTTGTAATTTTGCAAACTTTTAAAAAATGTTCAGTTTTATTCTCCGACATAAACAAAACATCACAACTAATTATCGTATGTTGTAGTTTTTGTAAGTTTTCCAAAATATTCAAGTATTTAGCAAGAGAAAATAAATAAAAACTGTCGTGGTATATCAACAATATTAAATCCACAAAAATTCGTTCGTGCAGGAGTAGCAGGTACAAAAAAAATGCAAAAATATATTTTAAAATTAAATTAAAGTACATCTGGACAAATTTCACTTGAACCCTGTAATACACAAATCAAAAAGATGATGAAGAAGGAGATGGAAATACAAGCAGCAGGTAACTTATAGTTTCCTACTCTGCTACGTTGCCACTGTGCATCTTACTCTTAGGGCTCAAATGAATTTGGTTTACCTGTATATTATTTTCAGTTTTACAGTTTGATTTTAGACTATCATAGGAGAATCATCGATTCGTAGATGGTAATTATTATTCAGCGTGTTCCTAATATGACAATAAAATGAATCTGGAGATAAACAAACAAAATTCCTAAGAATATGAGCCCAAAGGGGTTAATTATTAGTTTTTAAATAATTTCCAAACAGGGGCTGACATTCTATAATATTTTCTTTATTCTTTTTTTTTATAGCGGTGGTCGATGAGGTTTTTTTATCCAAAAAAAATTGTTCCTGGAACTTTCAATAAAATATTTTTCTGAGATGCATAAAAATGCATTTCCATCATTGACGTGGAATAGATCTTTTAGAAAATATCTCTTATTAAAATTTTAAAATGCATTTTTTTTAATTTAATCTCGACACCTTTTGCCTCGAATACTGTCGATTTGCGGACCCCTGTTTATAAAACTTTTTTGGTTTAAAATCACTCAAAGAATGGCCACTTAAAGATCCTGCAGGTACTTATTAACACCCCGTATATACCATTCAAAAATAAATCTGTCAATATATTTTTGAATTTTTGATACATTACATTGCAATTAAAATCGTATTTTTAATAAAAAATTTCCATAAACTCTTTTTGTAAAACGAATAGGTAGTTATTTTTTTGAGTTACTTTCGACACAAAACAGTGTGCCAGATTGATTTTAAAATACTCACAAGCAGTGGAGTCGAAAATCTTAGCGATTTTTTACTTCTAATGGTCCAAGTTTCAAATAGGCTACGTTAAACACATCCTCAGATATTTCAGAAAATGTGATATTTTTTTCTAATTTCAACATTCGAAAACGAAAATGAACTACGACGCATTCATATGAAATTTTTTGTTTAAAACAATTAGTTCTATCGTAAAATTTATCGATTAAATCTTGGACCACCCTGTGTATTAAGAACCTCATCATTACTACTTATCTAATAACCATCCCTGTATCTAATCTCTAAAGTATATATGCATCAAATATTTATATATTTAATTATCTTGTGAAACAAGTTCAGTAGGTATCTACCTAATCAAATAATTTACAATATATAAATTTGATACTGAATGTGCGTAGGTATAAGTATAAATAATAATTCTACAGTATAATGTATTCACATTTTGCATTAAGTAAAACATGATTATTTCCTTAAAATAAATTATTATACAGTGCAGATATTTTAGTTTCTAATGAAGATTTATCATGCCATTCTATATTTAGCCATCATTTTTGAAATGCTATGTTCTTTATTACTGAGAGCATGAAAATTATTCAAATTAGATTTTATGTTGAGAACCAGATATTAGATAGTAGGTATAATAAAAACTGATTACTTTTCAATATTACTTAATGAAGCAACAATCCAAATAATTTACCATGTAATCATTTTTTTACGTTGTCACGCTAAATATCAATTTGATAATAAATAAGTGAAACTTAGTTTTTTAATATATGGAATTATATCAAATATTTAAGTTGGTTACTGTGAAGAAAGTTGATTATATTATCAATGAAGATATCAAAGAAATATTTATAACGACGTCCCAATAATTTTGCATAAGTTATATAATTAATATACCCTAAATTACAAATAATGAGTTATGAGTAACTGACGAAGTAATATTTTTATCATGACACGACCTCATGTTAAAAATATGGCTCTATATATATTTTTTAACTAATTTACTTCCCGGATTAAATGTTATCACATTGTTTGAATTGTAGACATTACTATACCTACTTAATTAAAATTTGTAATGATTTCTCAAGCAATCTAGTTATATCCGGTTTTTTATTTATACTAATAATTTTACACATCTGTATTCTTAAATAAACAAAACCAGCATCAGTTTCACAATTGTTGTTAAATTGTCACGTTCATTACATTTTAATGGGATGATTAAGTAATTTGTCCTGTTTAAAGTCGCAATGCAAACTGGCATAAACCACTTTCTGCATGGTTTGAATAATAAATCTGGTCAACTCGACAAAATATTTTGCATGCAGGTACCCTCGAATATATATATATTTTTTATGAAAATGCAGCAAAAAAAGTTTTTAATTTAACTTATTTCGTATTTTTTGCAGTTGGTGAGACGTCAGAAGTAGATAATGAAAAATGATCCACCACCTGTATTGAGTTTTATTGTAGCTCTGCAGGGATGGGTATAGCTAGGGGAGGGGGAGCAGAAAGATCGGTGCCCACCCCAGAAAAAAAGATCCAATAATATCATCTTTTTCATATCGATAAATCGCTGTATGCGCCACTTTTTGTGCTTACGTTTTGAAATATTGTATCAGTAGGTAAGTTGTTGATTGCGTTTTTTTTTTCTTGAGGCCTGCAGAGTTGTAGCAGCCCTGGACCCACCCCAAGCAAAAATCCTACCTGTCTGCAGGTAGTACAGGTAGGTATTATTTTCTTAGGCGTTCCGAAATTGTATAAGCAAAAGAAGACATAAGTATTTCACTTTTTATAATCTATATGACAGAATGACAATTTATTATCCAGAATCATTTTGATTTTTTTACACAAAAAGGTCTTATTATTTAATTGTTGTCCAATAAAAAATATTGTAATAAGATTTAGTTCATTTAAATGACCAAATTAAATTGTTTCTGCTAATTGGTAATTTTAGGTAAAAAACACCACGTAAGAAAATTAAAGTTCTGGAAGTGAAAAAGTTGCACCTAAGAAAAATGTGGCAAACTAAGATTCCTAGCTAACTATGATAATCTTTTTTTTTATAAAGGTTAAAAAGTAAATCATCAAATTTTAATTTGTTTATCTTTAGTCATTTTAAGTATATTAAAAAAGTGTGTTCTCAGGAATTTTAATTTGAATAACCGGTATTTCGGAAATTAAGCATTTTCCGACCTATTTGTACATTTTTTGTACATTTCTTCCATATTTTATACTGCTGTGGTACATCTCTCTAATTAAAACTATGACTCTCTTATATGCAATAATTTTAATAAAAAAATACGTATAAGTTACTTACATTGTAAATGAATTTTCATGTCATCCAAATATTTACAGTCCCGAATTTACAAAACAATTATATAAATCAATAAAAATGACTACTTTTTTATTAAAGAATTGAGTGATAATTAAAGTACAACGTTAACAATTTTGCAATAATGATCATTAAAATAACAAAAAATAGGTATATAGGTACATATAACAAAAAAATAAAATAAAAATATTTTTAAAAGGAGAAATTCATAGACAATGTCAAGAAGAGTAGGTAAGTAAATTTTGCGAATATGTTTAAAGCATGAAATAATTTCTACGGCACTGGACGGTTATAAAATAACTAAATTAAAGCTAGTAGTTCTTTATAGTCTTTAGCAGCTGTACACCGAATTTGAAATTGGCCTAGAGATTTTAAAAGTAAATTTTGTCAAGTTAAAACATGCTTAATATGATAAGAAAAAATGCAATAAATATATATTTTCTTTTTTTTTATTCAAAACCAAGATAAGGGAATAATTGTGGTTCAGGGTTAAACACTTCAGTTTTATTAGACTTCTAAAATATATTTACAAAACCAGTTACATAATTATTTAGTAATATAATCAGACGGACAATTTTATTGTGGTGTTAAATATATCAAATAAAATACATAATTTTAATAAAAATAGCAATGTATTATTTTTAAAATGTTATCAAAAATATTTTTAAATAGAAATACTGTTATTTATATTTATTGCAGCATAGTGCCAAGTGCAAAAAAAGGTTTGTTAGGTAACAAAAAAAATGCAATTCAGACAATATAACAATTACCCAAGCAATATTTTTATAATATAAAAAGAGAAACCAAAATCAATACTTACATCACCTCTGCTTCTGAGAGTAGATCTTTTAGGCCTCAATAATACATCTTTAAAATCTAATTTAATTTCATTAATTATATTAGGCATTTTAAATGTTTATTGGATAACCAATTTTTAAAACTATATTTATAAATAAGTCTCAGCTTACTGCTAAGCCGAACTAATTATACTAACTGTCAGACAATTCAGTACTGAACACCTACTGCAACCCACTGCAACCTGCTGACTGACAGTAGTATCCCCACCGCTAATATTTTTGCTAAAATAATTGTTCCACCAAAACAAATTTTGGGATGTATGATCATCGCGCATGCTTGGCAGATTTTTGCGAAGCACGCACAACCATCGAGATGGAAGAAAAAGCAATTGTTCTCTAAACAAAGTCGTGCAAGTTTTGTTACTCTTGGGGGCACCTCTAATCTTCAGCAGTGGTAGGTATATTATTTTTATTGTCGAAAAATATTTTTTTTATATGAAATAATAGTGGGCGATAAGGTTTCTTATGTAAGAATCCTACAAAAGTAAACATTAACCTCATTTTGTAGCAATTCGAATTAAACTGTTTTATTTAAAATTAAATTAAACACCTTGTCTATGGTTCAATTGCAAATCATAATGGAAAATTTGAAGATTCGTAAATGAAACTAATTTGTTTGAGTTTTTTACGTGTTTAGGTATACATACAGAAATAAAATTATAGGTACCACTACTTCACTGTATCCTGCCGGTACTTCACCTGCTTCACTGTTTCGGGAATCTTACATGTTGACATGAGGTTTTTTTTTCGCGAATGAAGTTTTATGTTGTAGTAGGCGTGTTCGAAAATTCACTTAAACTGCTCAGATCACTATCTTCATCTTTGTCATTCTTATGGTTTTAGAGAAAGAGAGAGGACGATAGATCACTATTATAGTTAATTTTCGCAAACCCCTAATAAGTGTAATATGAATGAGTGAATAGATTTAAACTACCATATGACAACTAAGATCAAAAGAGATAGAAATAGTAACTACAAGTCAGATATTTACCAATATTCAATCGCGAAAGAAAGCTTATACTCAGCAACACGAAAGCAGTCCAAAATGGTTGAGTTGCGGCTTTATACCCTCGATTAGCTGAATGTTGGAAAATTTGTGCACTGCACGATCATATTGGTTATTTCCTTCGAGCATATACTACTGGAGGTATCATGCCATTGCGAAAAGTGTGGCTGAACGTACGACAGAGACAGACAGTATCTCAGTATATGCTGTTTCATTCTAGCACGTACGCGATTGGTTGGAAATGAATGCTCGCGCTCATTGGCTCCCGCAGGCCTCCTGTCGTTGGATCGAAGAATGAGAGCATATACTCAGAATGGCATGCTACGTCCAGTATGGTCCAGTAGCTCGAAGGTTATTTCTTGTTTTGTAGTTCATCTGTTCTGTAGTTCTATGATGGTAATATATGTTTTGTTATGGTTATGGCACATATCTAACGTTATGGTAATATGTATATGTTCTATGTGGTTCTGTTTGTTTATTTTTTCATTTCTCCATGGACTCCATGTGATTAACATTAAGTCGAAATAAATTTTATACATATATTTTTAACTATGGCTTCAACAGAAGAAAATAAGAAATTTGCTGATATAATACGGACTATTGACGAAGATGAGGAGGTTGAGGATTTCTCGGAAACTTCCGATGTCGAAGTTGAGGTTAGAAATCATGTTTCTCTGAATTTTCTCAATTATTTCTTTTATGTTCGTTAGTTTCAGCCCTCTAAGCAGAAATCTAGGAAAAAAGCAGATTTTGATAAAGATTTTCATTTCATGAACTCAGTAGAGGAATATAATACAGATTCTTGGAACGATTTAACAAAATATATTAAACGGAAAGCTAAATATAAGACAGACGACAAGATAAAAAAAATTAGAGCTAGCAATTTGAATAGCCAAGATGGCGAATCTGACAATGAAAGTAACGATGTCAAAGAAAATCATAGCGATTCAGAGATTTCTATATCAGACGATGAATTGAAATATGATAAAATTAAAGAAAAGAAGAAGAAAAAGAGTAACAAACAGTCTGAACCAGAGTCATTTTTCAGTGAAATTGTGGCAAATACTGAAGAAGCTGGAAATTTTTATCAAATGAACTTATCAAGACCTTTATTAAAAGCCATTCAAGAAATGAAATTTGTTCACCCAACTCCAATTCAGTCCGCTACAATACCCGTTGCACTTTTAGGTAATAATAATAGTATTTCATGCCCTCTTTATTACTTATGTGCTTAAAATCTGTTAATGTAATTTATTTTAGGTAGAGATATTTGTGGCTGTGCTGCAACAGGTACTGGTAAAACTGCGGCATATATGCTGCCAACCATAGAACGTCTCTTATATAGACCATCAGGTGGTACGGCTGTTACTAGAGTTCTAGTTCTAGTACCGACTCGTGAACTTGGAGTACAGGTTTACCAGGTAACTAAACAAATTTGTCAGTTCACTGACATACAAATAGGGCTAGCAGTTGGTGGGTTAGATTTAAAGGTGCAGGAGACAATCCTTAGAAAAAATCCTGATATTGTTATTGCAACACCAGGCCGGTTGATTGACCACTTAAAAAGTACTCCTACGTTTAGCTTGGAGTGTATTGAGGTTCTAATACTGGACGAAGCTGACCGCATGTTAGATGAATATTTCGCGGAGCAAATGAAAGAAATTATTAAGCAATGTTCTAGACAGAGACAGACCATGCTATTTTCCGCTACAATGACGGATGAAGTCGAAAGTCTGGCTGCAGTTTCTCTTTCAAAGCCTGTAAGGTTATTTGTAGACAGTAATAGGGATGTTGCCTTTAATTTAAGGCAGGAATTTATTCGTATTAGATCTGATAAAGAGGTAGATCGTGAACCTATACTCGCCTCTATGTTATGTCGAACTTTTCGTGAGCACTGCATGGTGTTTGTACAGACTAAGAAACAAGCGCACCGTTTGCATATTTTATTAGGACTTTTAGGGTTGAAAGTGGCGGAATTACATGGTAATTTAACTCAGCCCCAACGTTTGGAAGCTTTGGAAAAGTTTAAGTCAAAAAATGTTGACATTCTTGTGGCCACTGATGTGGCAGCTCGTGGCTTGGACATTTCTGGAGTTCAAACTGTAGTAAATTTTGTGATGCCTGCTACCATAGAACATTACATTCACAGAGTTGGTAGAACTGCTAGAGCAGGTCGTGCGGGAGTATCTGTAAGCTTGGCGGGTGAGATGGAACGAAAAATTGTGAAGGAAGTTATTAAAAGGGCGAAAAATCCTGTAAAGGGTCGGGTGATACCACCAGATATTCTGGAGAAATACAGAACAAAACTAGAAAAAATTGAGCCTCAAATAGCACAAATTTTACAAGAGGAATATGAAGAACGAATGCTGAACAAAGCCGAAAATCAAGCTAATAGAGCTGAAAAGTTACTAAAAGGAGAATTAGATGAAAAACGACCTTGGTTCCAGTCTAAAAAGCAAAGAAAGGAGGAACAACATCGATTGTCATTAAAACAAACCAACGGAGAAAATAAGAATGTAACGAAAAAAGGGGCAAAGAAACCAAAAGCTAAAAAAGACAGATCAAAGGAAACACCGGAAGATAGAATTCAAAATGAAATAAATAAGGTGGCTCTGCTACAAGCGAAATTAGCGAAAAAAAAACAAAAACAAAAGAAAATTAGTACAGTCAGGGAAGAGAGTTTTCAAATTAATTCCAACAGTAAAAAGAGAAAATCAAATTTTCTTGATTTAGATGTGTCTCAAAAAAATGCCAAGAAATTAAGGTATGATGCAAATTTGAAGAAAAGTGGCAGGAATAATAAACCTGGTAAAAATACAAGAAAAGGAAATGTAAAGAAAGGAGGAAAGGTATTTGGTAAACCTCAAAAAAAGAAAAAAGGTTAATTCGGAATAAATTAGAAATGTATATTAGTGCAACAATGAAAGAAAATGAAATATTTTATAAGAAAATGTTTATAAACCAATAAAAATACATTAATCGTTTTAAAGTTTTAAATAGATACCCATGTTTCACTCCTTTGAGGAAATTTTTTGATCGGTTATTTTATTTTATAAATATGTATATTGTTTTCAAAGTTTTATAAAAATATTTTAAATATATAAAATAGTTGTTTGAGTAGTATTTTCTTGTTATACATTTATTATTTACTAAGTTAGAAACTCATAAAATAATATATTGAAATTTAGTAAAAGCATTAAATTTGAAATCAATTATTGATTGTAAAATGCCTCAATTCTACTAAAAGATCCCTTTTTAAATAACTAGAGGGATTTCACAGGGTCTAACAGCATTTAAGTGTACGATAATTCAATAAACAAAGAAATGAAGTTGCATAGAAGGAAAAATTGAAACTTAAAATAAATTTTATTTTTTTTTTTATTTAAAATGTTTTACAATTTAATTGTTTCATAGTCTTGGATGCAAATACTATGGGTAGCTAAATGTCTTCAGCTCATTCAATGGTAAGATTCATTCTAATATTTTGTTAATGTACTTGTGCCACTTTATGTGAGCAAAAAAAATGCAACCTCATTTTTTTCGAAAATGGTGCATGCTACCGAATTTCCCCAAGTACCTATACCTTTTTTTTGTAGTATCCTTTAGAGTTTACAGAACCGTTTAGAAATGTAATAAATTTTGACTTTTAACATTTTTTTTTCGATTGTACCCCAATTATCTGTATCGGCGACACTGCTTTTCAGAAAGAAACCATTTGCACATTATTCTTAACGTATAGATGATATTTACTCCTGTACAAATTTTGACATTTTTATCTTTAGCTGATTTAAAGATAATTAAGGAAATAAAAAAAAACTTTACATGAACTACCCCTATTATTTTCCCACGCTGAACTTGCACACAAGTTTTTTTGAAACATGAACGGGACACCCTGTATACCTTTACTTATCGTTACCATAGGTACTTGCATCTATCAAAATAAATATTTAAAATGTGATATTGATATTTGATATTGGAGATTTGAAATTTAATATTTGACGTATCGGTTGACAGTATATACAGGGTGTCTCAGTGTCGACGTACAAAAATTTACCAGGGATAGACCACACCAAAATAAGGTTAAAATTCTTATAAAATATTTTTCTGCGATGCACTTTCACTGAGTTACAGGGTGTTGTTTAGAAAAAAATAATAACAATTTTCCGCACAACCCTTTCAAGGATTTAAGTAATTTTTGGGTGAAATGTACATTTATTAAAGGTCATTAAAACTACATAGTGCTTTTTTGATCTGGCGCCAGGGGCGGCCTAGGCCAACTTGTCCTCAAAATTATATCTTCATAACTTTTGCATATCCTAGTTTTATGTAATTTGATTACATTTTCCTGAATCTGCAATCGATTCTGAACAAAAAATGGGCTCTTGTTCCATAGCTCAAAAATGAACCGTTTTCGAGTAAATTAGGTCTAAAGTATCGACTGCATTAGTTCGTAGAAAAATGCATCTATAGATTTTATTTCTTGTTNCGAAATTTAGTTTTACGACAGATAAAAAATCACATTCGTTTTGTGAAATTGTAACTTTCTTATTAAAAATTAAAAAATATATCTATTTCTCAGAAAAGGTAGTGTACAATTTTTAGACTAGAATGAAAAAAAAAAATTATAAATATATTCATTTTTTTGCTTATGATTTTTTAAATTTTTGAAATCATCCCTTAACTTCTAGTCTCCCTAATGCTGTTAATTTTAATAGTACAAGAAAAAGTCAATAGACCAATTTTATGTATGATTTTGTGCTCTACAACCTTTATGAGAAACTTTTTTCTAGCTCATACCTTTTGAGTCATCTTGAAAAAACCCTTCATTTTATTGTTTTTCACCCCTGACCGGGGGTTGAAAAAAATAACTATCACTTATTACTATTATTATCTTTAAGCTAACTCATATCAAAAGTTCAGTCAAGTTGACCAAAACTGCGATTTAAAGGCCCATTTAATTGGACTATAAGTATAAATTAGTAGATCAACCCGTTAACCACATATTCTTTGGACAAAAATAATGGAACTTTTCTTATGCCACTTTTCATTTGGAAGCCCCATTTTCAAAATACAGGGTGTCAAAATTAAAATTTAAAAAATGATTTTTATTGTTAACTTCGTTGATTGTAGAGATATTTATTTGAAATTTAGCACAAAAGTTTTATACATGAAAAACATTTTTTTTTTGTTTAATTTGCGCTTTTCCTGAAGTGTGTCGGGCGTCCGTCATACGGTTAACTGCGCTATGAACATACTTGTTCGGAAAGTATCGCGTACCCTCTTACCATTGATTTATAACTTCTCTAATACACTCATAGATGTCGTTAGGGAGTATGCGTGTACAATTCAAACAAAAGTACATTAGTATAGCGTCAGTGCACGTTCATGTCTAAAACTCATTTTAAAACTTTCAAAGCGTTTTTCTTGAAATATGCTTTTTCAAAACGGCACGCACCTTAACTCCAACAATTTTCAATATTTTCTTTTGAAATTTTAACCACATATTTAAAACAACATTTTGAAGAGAAACACATATGGATTTTTAGATAAGTTAATTTAAACAATTGTTATAAACAAATAACTGCACTTTTTTTCGTCAAAAATTTAACGTTTTACTTCAAACCCCTGCCAATTTTACAAAAAAACAATATTTTTATAATCCCGTACATGTTTCTCTAGCTATACTCATGTAGATTAACCCTTTCGTTGCGCCATATATCTGTGCCGTGCGCGAAAGTTTACCGTGTGCGAATATACTCGTCTGGAGCAGTTAGACTACTTAGACTACTTATATTATTACATTATGTTGTGTTAAATTAAATTAAAATATGTTTAAAGGTTTCAAAAGAATTGTAATAGTTTAGTTATTAATATTTTATTATAAAGCATCCATCACTACGCTCCTCAATCTCAAACTCATTGCCGTTAGCGCTCCTCGCTAAAATTCCTTTCAGTTCTTTGTGTCAATTTTCTAGATATTTTAAAATATATTTATTTTTAGATAGATTTAATTTTAAATAAATTACAATATATCAACAGTCGTACTAAATAGAAACTGAAAAAAAAATTAACAATCTTGGCATTATTACCAGTACCTCCTTCTATAAAAATAATTGCCACAATCGTTATATGCTTCCCCGCAAAAATTCCCATACCAATTGCCACAACCAAGTCACTAATGCGCATGATTGCAAATATACAGGGTGATTCAGAACTTATCCAAAAAAAAATTCTGGATGTACAGGAGACCCTTATAAATTCAGTTTTGTAAAGAAAAAATCAAAAAGGGCAGTTCGAAAATGATTTAAAAATACTCTTCTGTACGGCACTGGAAACTGGTCCACTGTAAAACCTGACGCACAATGTGACCGGCATGGCGGTGTGATAAAAACGGACAAAAACTTTCGCAAGGAAAGAAATATGTAAATAGAATTTTATCGCACCTATTTTATATCGGCAAATTCAACTGCTTTTGCTTTTATTAATTAATAAAATTAATTTGTGTTTTTAAATAATAAAATCATTTGACATACCCGATGTTACAACAACAATTGTTAAAAATTTTATCCACCAACGTGTAAACACATTTGGGTCCGTCTTACTCAGTTTCTACGAACTAACACAAATGTTGTCTTGCTTCACCATAACACAAATGCTTCACCATAAATTAAAACGATATCCATCAACTCCGAGTTGCTATACACGCAAACCATTTTTGACACTAACTACCCATTTTTGACACTAACTACTAAAAAACTATTGTAAACACCACAGATAACAGGTAAATACTATCGCAACGACGATTGCAAAATCGGATTTCAGTATTCGGAGTCGCTGAAGCCACGTGGCTCTCCACGCGTATTGCGAATGACGCTAGAGACTACAGTTGTCCAGCTATGTAGTGGTTGAATGTACTATAACTTCAATAATTTTCTTCTCGGAAACTAAGGATTTTACAACATTTTTTTTACGATATCGACTCCATTTCTCATGCCGCATCTATTCCCAAATTTTTTTGGATAAGTTGTGAATCACCCTGTATATGGTTTGAGCAGCCTGATCCAATTTAACTATTAAATTAATTCGTCTGGAGCAGTGAAAGGGTTGAGAAATTTTTTTTTGTTCCACCTTGAAATTTGCACTAGTTCTAATGCGTGCCGTGGAACGCCTCGACGGCAACATGCTTCAGGAGAATGGCTCCAGTGCCGCCATTTTGAAATATTTTTTAATGAAAAAATTTTTCTGTACACTTAATACAAGCCTAATAACATACTTAAACAGATCTTTTCTATTACCTTTCCTTCTATTAAAAAAAAATTGTCAAAAACACGCTTTTTTTAGGCCGTTACAGTGGCGTAACGCTTTAAATACTCCTTAAACTGCTTATTAATAATATTTTATACTTGTTAATTTTTGTACAAAGTGCGTTTTACGAAAAGCTTGCGAGGCCCGTCTCGACCCCCGTCAGCTTAGGGACGAAAGAAATGAAACCACCCGTAGAGATATAAATATTAAGGTATTTCTATTTAACAATGTATAGTTTATAATCATCAACCTTTCCACAAATCTACAATTAAGAACATTACAAGTCCATGTATTTTACGTAAAGAAACAGGAAACATTCTACAAGGCTCCATGGTATAAATAATCATATAAACAAAATACGTAAAGTACAACTAAGCTAAACATAATAAACAATATTTCATCAACAACTGTACACAGTATACATTCACGTATTTCGTGTCGCCCTACGTAAAATGCAGTAAACAAAAGTAAAGAATAGTTGTATAATATATAATATAATATATATATTATTTATGCAATATTAGCTTGTATGGAAAATACCACATTTACAATGTACACCTCTGTTTGTGTATGAACTATGCATGTTTGCCATCTGTCTATATACAATAAATTCACCTATCTATATACAATTCTATTTTAATGGGTAGCATATCACAATCTGTACAGTTAGAGTGGCGGTTACGGAGGAGACTCTTCACTGCAGTAGCTGTCATCCTCGCTCTCCGACGACAGGTCACACAAGTACGGGTGGTACGGTGAGTACTGGTGCAGGTGGCTGCTTTCCCAGCAGCCGCTCTCATACTGTCACTTCACCTCTTTCTTACGCTTGCTCTCCACATCTGACACTGCAAACAAACACTCTAAATAAATCACCCCTCCAAGGGGCCGTTCCCTTCGACTGCAAACAAAATGGAAAGGTTCATTTCTTTCGTGCACACATTAAATAAATTTGTCCAATCAATTTGAATTTTATCACATATTCATGACGTTATGCGGAAAATTAGGAAATCCACTAGATATTTATATATTTTGTCAAATTTGTGACAAAGAGGAAAATGTCAGAGACCTGCTGATCTATTTAATTACATCTGTTACCAGATACTGCTGGTATAATTCACGGGTACGTATGCTAAATAGATAACTTTTACATAACTAGATTTTTGGTATCAAAGAATACTGGTTGACTCATTTGGTAAGATTTTTAGGAAAATATTTTAGTTTACTTGAATTAACCTTTCGAATAATACCATTAACACAAAATAAAATTCAAGAGCTAATTACGAACACAGGGTGTCCCGAAATTAATGCAACAAAATTTGATCACAGATTCTTAAGACAAAGGACCCTGCACTTTTCTTATGGGAAGTGGCTTTCGGCCAATTTTTTTGAAACTTCGCAGGTTGATAGTTCTTAACATGTAGATCAAAAGTCTCAATAGGCACAAAGCCCTAAATCCACCCCTTCCCCCCAAAAACTGCCTCAAAGTAGCGGGAGGGATTTAACTGATTTCTGTATGTAAAACAATTTATTTTTTAATCAACCCAACAACAATTCTTTCAGCCCCCTGAAATCTTCCCCTAAAAATAATCTTTTTTTTATATATCAGAACCCTGTTGTACGAGAATCACTAAATTTGGTACACAGGGGTTTTACGACATATGGAATCTGATGGTACTACTCTTTTTCGTGGGGAACTTCTTAAAACAATTTTTTATGGGCCACCTTGTCTTTGGAGCCAAAAAAATTTGATCGCATATTTAAATTTGTTAAAAGTTATTAGTCCGCTAGAAAGCCAATAAATTTAGAAACTTGCTTAAAACGCAATGTTTTCGAGAAAAAAGTCAAAATGTGATCGAATGCATATCGTGATTCACTATTTTTCCCAAGCATTCTGAGACAGCCTAATTTAAATTTACAGAAATTATTAACTTGAAAAAAAAGTGACCATAAAGGAAATTAAATTTTAAATTTACTTTCTTCTTTAACCTCGATCCAAAATGACAGACATGGCCAAAAAAATTCACAAAGTTGCAAAAAATGGTTTTTCTTAAATAATTAAAAAAACTATAGTTCCCATTGAAAAATTTTAAATGAAAAGGTAGGTTTTAAAAAGATTTTTTGATCTTTTATAAATATTGATTGCTTTGTTACTTTTTAAAATATATCGAAAAAACCGTTAAAAATCTTCTCTTTCCTATTCTTCTATAACACGTTTACATTTACATTCCCATATTTGCTATTTACTGTAAGTTAACCCGCGGCATGCTAAAAATGACTTTTAAAGAAAGAAATTGCTGACATTTTTTCACGAATTTTAAAATAAATGTTTTCCTACGACCTTGTGGAGGAGAGATAACATTTTTATTTAAAAAAAATCTAGAGCAAGCAATCAACACGTCACAGAGATGCGCGTAACGGAGTGAAGCGCGTAAGTTAAAAAATGTAAATTAAATAAAAATGGATTATTTCCGGGACTATTTTGTTTCTAAGGTGAATATGACTATAATATTCGCGTTTTATTTCATCAAACTACCCCAGATTAAGTACAATAGGATTTTTGTACGTGGTTCAGAAGCCGAGATATCAAAGATTTTGCAAGCACGAGTCGCTTAGAATGCACATCATCAGTTTTCAGAGCAAGCGCGTGCTTGCACGTTTCACTGTATTACTCAATTAGTAGTACAAAAAATCAATATCCTATTATTTTTTTCTTGAAAATGTAAATATTTAATATTAACCTCCATCAAGCTCATCGCTGTAAAATGTTAATTGCATCCTCGTTTTTTTTTTTAAATAAAAAAATGTCAACAATTTCATTCTTTAAAAGTCAGTTTCATAAACTAAAAAATTAAATAATTATTTGAAAAAAAGATGCCCGAAAAAAGTGCAATTATTTTCAGACATTTTTTGATCCTTCAAATTAATAAAATGGTAAAAATTGTTTAATAGCATGGTAACACAATTCTTTATGAAGAAAAGAGGCTGAAAATCGTTACTGTTACAATTTTCGAGAGCACCTTTTTTTTCAAAAAATCCATATCGAAAACGAAAAATAATAATTAATATTTTTAATTTTTCAAAAATGCACTTTCTTGGCTTGTCGTGGGCTGTACTTACAGTAAATAACAAGTAAGGGAACGTAAATGTGAACGAGTTATAGAAGAAGAGAAAAGAGAAGACTTTTTCGATATATCTCGAAAAGTAACAATATAATTGATACTTATAAAAAATCAGTTGATAGATCATTTTAAAACCTACAACTTTAATATTTTTTTAAAGGAGAAACTCAAATTAAAATTGAATTTCCTACACGGTCATATTTTTTTCCAGGTAATAATTTCTTTAAGCACTTCTCTATAATGCTTGGCCTAAATCAGCACAATAGGCTATAGGCAATAGGCAATAGGAAATAGGCTACAGAAAAAGAAAAAAAATTTGGGAAAAAAATATAGGTACTATCGTTAGTAGCAACACTTTTCCAAAACCTTCCATCATAATATCCATTGTGTTTTCATTTTAATGTGATATGCTTACTTTTATTCAATTGTTGGACATATTATCTAAGAATTATAAAACAGAACGAAGCCAATTATGTAAATTGTAGAAGAAAAGAAGCTGCTCCTTTTTTTTGCATGAATACCTACGAATAGGCTTTGAATTCAACAAGAAATTAAAAAAATGCAATAATATACAAAATGTTCCATTTGAATTAGGTAAGATCCTGAAGTTATCGAATACCCTGTATAAAGAAAAAATTTCAAACGCTAAGAAATTGATTTGATGCAAGATAATCGCTACAGAGACAAGGGTGAAAATCTGAATTACACCATCAAATTTTTAACTAAACTAGCAATTTTCTTTTTATTTAACAGAAAAACCCCTAGCCGAGCTTATGTCTGAAGTAGAAAAAAAAGAGGGTACATACCAGCACTTCGAGTTTTTCTCCTTAAAGCTTCCGACTCGGATTGTGTTTTATCGCCCCTGCTCCTAGTATTCTGAGCGGGCATATTGCTCCTCACCGACCTTCTGGTATTCATCACGACCGTCTTGGCGTTATTGGCGGCTACCCCCGCCCCGCTCTTCACCTTCGACTTGGCGGCCACGTTACCGGCATGCGTGTTAATCGAGTTTGATGGTTTCCTCAGTTTCTCGATGAGCGGTTCGTCGCTATCGGAACTCTCATCTTGTTGCACCTTCGCCAAGGTTTTCTTTACGTTGCCCGCTTTGGTCGGGTCGTTCTGACGAGTCTTGACGGTATCAAGCACCGTTTCCGACGCCTTCCTCGGCTTCTTCTTACCTTCCTCCAGGCTGTGATTGGAACTGTCCGACTCGTTACGCTTCCTTTTGGTGGGAGCCATCGTTCGAGTATTTTTAGTCACTGGCGAACTGAGTTCCGGGCTGCCCAATTTCGACAAAGCTCTGGTTCTGACAGACGAGCGGGTGGCCGGGCTCGGCGAGCTCGGCACCGCCTGGTGGTCGTTTGGTATCTCTATGAGTAGTTGTTCCAAGAGGCTCCTGTTCTGCTTGCTGCTGCTGTTCATCGTGCTGTTGGTGGAACAGGAGTTGCTGTCTTCGTCCGAGAGCGTCGGACTCTCTGAACCGCCCCGGCCCTTTTCGGGATTTTGGTTCGAGTATGTATACAGAGCAGGTGTTACCCTTACGGGTAATGGTTCCAAGTTTTCCTCCTTTTTAACCTGAAACCACGTGTTCATGTACAGTGGCAGGCAAGAAGTGTGCATTATGCCTAGCAAAAATGTATATAAATACTCGCAAATTCTAGAAAATGTCAATCAGTGACGTTCATCTTGGGGTCTGACAAGAAATTAAAATAAGGTAGCGAAATTGCCTTATAGAAAAAATATCACAAACATTTTATTGAGAAAAGTTGTTTGGAGTCAAATTTCTAGCCGTATACGAGGTGTTCACAAGGGAAATGGTAGCTTCCTTGAGCAAAAGTAAATTTAGATTAGGTTACTTTAGAATAATTTTGTTTTCTTAAAGAGTATAGTCAATTTTTTTTAATTCGTTCCTTAGGTCAAGTTTTCCAGTTTTTTTTAATATTTCAATAAAATTTGAGTTTTTTTTTGGGAAATCCAAATATCATAGACTTATTTTTGAAATAAAACATAGAGCTAAAAATACCTTTGTTTTATTGGCGAATTTTTTGGTAGTACAGATTTTTAGAAAACGCAGGTGTTTTATTAAATATCACTTTATTATGAAAAGGTACACTTGCTGCATGTCGCTAACATACGTTATTTCAGAGAAAAAAGTTATGATAAGTAAATAAACATCCGCCAGGCACAGACCGGTTTCGGATTTACTAGTCCTCATCAGTGTGTCATAGGTGAGACAACCGACGCTGTTCTAATCAATTTGTGCCACTCAAAAAAATTCATGAGAAATGCCTGAAAATAAGCTTCCTAATGTGGTTTCTCCCTTGATACAAGTTTGCTATATTTTTTCATGTAATGTAATTTTTGATAGATCTTTTTTACGTTTATTTTCTTTTTTTTATTTAGTGCCAGACCTAAAATTCGAACAACACCGACATTTTTTAGAATTTCTAAGATAAGAGACAATTGTCAATGAAAATACAGGTAAAATATAAATTCTACAAAATTTTTCATCTTATTTTTCTTTATATTTGCAACAATACAATTTAGTTGAAAAATTTAATATCAATACATGCAACACTTTCCAGCAAAACATCAACTGTTTTGTCCCCCTCTAACCACAATAAATTAAATGTTTTTTAGAAGTTATTTCAGTTTTACTTGTATTATATTGAATTTTTGAAATTTTTCAATAAAAAGCTGTATATATCCGAATATTAAACTGTCCCGAATGATACATCAGTGAACAAAGAACAACTTAAACTACCTAAAATTTTGTTTTATTAAAGTTAAATTTCTTACCTTGAGAGACACAAGGTTGATTTCGGCTTGCTGCTTTGCGGGCGGTGTTGGGGGCGACAGCGTCGCGGTCAACGACACCGCCCCTTGCTTAAGGCTGTCCTGCAGAGCACAAGTGAGTTCACAACACTGCTTCAGCTTGCTCGACTGATCGTGGTGACACTTATTCTCGTTCACGTCCTCCGTTGCGTTGGCGTTCACCACATTGCCTCCTCCTCTATCAGTGTCACCGTTCAAGCCCTCCATCTTAGCGAGCTGCGCCTCAATGTCCAGCATGATAGGCACTTGGGTCTTGGGAGGTAATATGTCAGCATGCGGACTTTGGCTGGCTTGGTTGGGAGACTTCTCGCTAAGGGCGTCCATGCTTTCTATCCCGCTGTCTTCGCCCTGACCAGCTCCGGAGTTCGGTGATCTGCCGCCGGTGACGGCGGTTTGCTTCTCGCTCAGTTCCACCGACTTCCTGTCGGGGGTGTTGCACTTGTCCGGTTCCGGCGATTTATCCTTCAGCGATGTAACGTCTGGTGCGATTTTCGCCACCTGAAATCGTTTTTACCATTTCATAATATTCTACCCAGAAAAACCTTAACTCTTAGAAATTATCAACTGCTGCTAAATTTACGTGAAATTAGGTAAGAATTTTTTATTTATTTATTTATATATTTATTTATACTGTATTTAATTTAGAAAATGCTTGATTCTCGGAAAATAAGGGTTAGTTTTTTTTTCTAGTTCTACATTTAAAAAAATAGGTACTTAAAAGTCAATGTCCCATTTTATCTACAGTCTAAACTAACGTTTATTTCTAAAAAATGTTTTAACAAAGGTTTTAATTATTCCTATCGTAGTTAGTGTATTGCCAAGGTAAAAGACTCAGTTTTTTTAACATTTTGACTGCCCTGGATGAATATATTCACAAACTGTTTTTGTGTCACTGATTCTAACGAGATTACTTTTTTGAAATCTGCTCGAAGCAGCATTTCTCACGATATTTAAGCTTCACTTAACCAATTTGAGTGGGCGGAGATCCAATACATAATCGTGTCCCAACTCATCTAGAACAGTTTGGACTATACAGGGTGATTCCTAAGTTGAGTCGTATTTTGTAACAGCGTACAGAACTACCTAATACAAGCATTTTTCTCAAATTTTATATTTATATTACATAAGTATAGAATATGGTTTTAAAAAAATTATTTTAATTTTTACACGCTACAAAAAATATGACTTAAATGTGAAATCACCTTGCAGTTTTCAGTTGATATTTTATACTCGAGAGTATCTAGAGAAATTGGCTATAAAAAAATCCGACATGTGCGGAATAAAACATTTCATATTTGATTTAAGTTGTACCTTGCTCAAGTGAAAATAAATATGAAATTTCGTAAGCTGCAGTTAAAAAAAAATCATATTATCTTAGCGGATATTCTTGGATGTAGATTAATGGTGTGATAATTTGTATTGCTTGAAAATATCACAAAAAACATACTCTTTTCTCGAATCAGATTTACTCAGTTAATTTACAATGTACAATTTCCAGTACCAAATACCTATTAGTTTTTGTAACAAATTGAAGTTTCTGAATCGTGAAGTTACAACTGCCTAATACTGAGCTAATTTTATTGAGATACGTAAATTAATAGGCCAATCATTAGAGGTTTTGTTTGTGACAAAAATACTAGTAGCAAACGGACTGTGCCATCATATAAAAGACAGTCTGTAAATATATGCTTATGTGTTTCCTACTCCAATTTACCATTAATTAATTTTTTTATAAACATTTTTATGCAAAAACCGCGTTTTTTTAGTTTTTTGATTATAAAACCTAAACTAACAAAGCAATCTGAATGCTATAAGAGACAATTTGTAGAGAATCGAAATACGAATAAAACGAGAGGTCGATCAATCTTATTGGATAATTAGAAACGAAGAAAACCTGGAAAAATCGTAGAGCTGATCCTGTGCACAAGAGTAGTGAATTATATGTACTTTTAAGTGTGCACAAAGCTGGCGCTGTCGGACCATTAGTTTCGGCACAATTACAATTTGAATTTTTTGGTGCACTATTTTGCAAAGTATCTGGATACATTGGAAATTTTAATTTTTCAGCCGGATTTTAAAAGTAGAAATATAATACTACAAAACGTATATTCTAATTTTCCGATAAAATGATGCGAAATAGGTGAAAAATTCCTCCAAACAAGCTCAAAAACTGCCCAGATGTGGTCGAGTAGTCAAGAAAGGTCGGGAGATGAGGGGCAGTTGATATGTAGGTATACAATTGTTAATAATGTTATTCACTGCTCTTGTGCACAGGATCAGCTCTACAAATTAAAAAATGGCGGAATAAAGTTTTTAAAAAAGCTAAATTTTTCCAATTTTTTCGGGTTTTCTTCGTTTCTAATTATCGACCTCTCATTTTACTTGTGTTTTCGATTATCTACAAATTGCATCTTTATAGCATTCAGATTGCTTCGTTACTTTGTTATATAAGCAAAAAACTAAAAAAATGCGTTTTTTGCATAAAAATGTTTATAAAAAATTAATTAATGGTAAATTGGAGTAGGAAACATATCTACAGACTGTCTTTTATATGATGGCACAATTCCTTTGCTACTAGTACTTTTTGTCACAAAATCACTGATTTAATAATTTAATACTCTATCGGCCTATAATCCCTATCCATTTTTTCAGCATTTTCCAAGTAACTAAAAAAAAAATGAAAAAATTGAGTCATTTATCAAAGCTATCTAAATGTGACAAATAAGCACCACCATATGGCAAAAACAATCTATAAAAACTTTGTTAGGAAAAAACCAAATAAAAAAAAAATGTAGAGGGAAGTACAAATTGTATTTACATTTTAAAAATTTATATTGTATGCAATAAATGCATTACTAAAATACACTTCACAAATAATGAATTATAATTTTGATAACATCTTTATCATTAACTTTTATTATGATGCAATGTTTACTAAACTTTGGAGATAAAATCTTTGTTAAACTAACTGCGTCATTCATTATTAGCCTTCCACTTCTGAAGTCACTTAAATATTTTTACAAACGTCAAGATAATATTTTAATTAAATTTAAAATTATTAATTGTGAACATTATTCGTAAGGAAAAAATTTCTTTAAACTATTTTTGAAAAATTTGTTTGCCAATTGTTTTTGTTTAAACAATAATTTCAAATGATGTGGAGGAAAACAACCACTAGTTCCTATATCTGTTAAATAAATAATTCTACTGAGGTTTATTTATATTTCATTCAGAGAAAAATGCATTAACTTAAAAAAATTGAAAAAATAAAAATTAAACTTGAAATTTTGAGAAAAAACAGTACATATAGAAAATCACGTGAATACTATTCTGCACTTGGTATTATTTTTTAAAAACGAAAAAATTAAATTATCATGATATTATAATTTACACCAAAATAAACAAAAAAAAAATGGTTAAAAAGAGTTGAATGAAATAAAAAAAAACACCATCTACCATAATATGAACACTTCAGTGTAAAAACGGTTACTTACCTTTTCCGTATTTTCAGTCCTATTACTTTCCGCGGTAATATGGTTCACGACTTCAGTTCGATGAGGTGGCCTCAGAACCCCCTTTTCTGCGGTACCCTCCAGCAGACCTTGCTTGAATTTCGCCTCCATGTTCATCTCGCCCGCGGTCGGCAAAGTCACCTGTTTATTCTGCAATTTATCCCCAAAGTTTTTGGTAAAAATCTTATTTCTACCCACGTCCTTCTTGAAGATATCTTTGATTTTCATCTTGTCCTTCCTGGATTTCTGAGGCAAACCCGTTATGGTACCCACGTTGGTCGAACCGAGCACTGGCGGCTTTTCCTCGTCCACTTGTTCGGCTTGACTTAGTCGCCTTTTCTTCTCATCGCAAATAATTCCGTTGCTGTCCACGTACTTCTTGTTGTTTCGCACTAACTCCGAGTCGCTTCCCCTCCTCTCCTTCTGTTTGTCCTTGTAGTGATTGTGGATTATAAATTTTGATTTTATGTCGTTCTCGCTCAGACTCGTCACCATGTCCTAAAAGGAAAATGTAATTTAAGGGCATACAGACAACATCAAATGCATATAACTGTTTGTGTGGATATCTTTCCACCCGTGAAAAAACTGGTAGAATGCATTAAGTATAGAATACATAGTAGGATTAATAAGTTTATGTTCAAAAGCTACATATGCATTTTCAATTAACCAATGAATATTATCACCGAGATTTCAGAATGATAAGATCCTTGCTGTCGCCAATTTTAAATATTTTTATGAATGGAAAAATATGTTAATTTAAATAAAAAACCTATTTATTGAAGATAAGTAAACGCTATTTTTTCAATTTGGCCCTGTATTATTGACGAATTAAATATCTTTCTAGATAATATTAATGATAATACAAATTTTATATAATATTCTGCAAAAAGATAGGAAAATGCCATTTTTTTTCTAAGCAAACAATCGTGAACGAGGAAAAACTATTTGAACTAGAACGAAAATACAGGCAATCCTCGAGTTACATCATTTTGAGTTGCGTTGAACAATATTTAACATCAGTCATCAATCTTACGTCAATGGTTTCGAGACACATCATGAAGTATTTCACAATATTTTTAAAGAACATAACATAAACAAAATTATTAGTTCCTGTCAGTGTTATCGATAAATGTATGAAAACAAGAAAAACGAATTGATAAGTTTCTTAAACCAAAGGTTTATTTTTATTATGGTTTATTTTATAAATAAAGTATGATTATTTAATATTAATATGTAGGTTTTTTTTACATTATATGTTCTGATAGAACCCAATTCCTTCACTTTATATATAAATGAAAAAAGAAGTATCGACTTACGCCGTTTCGATTTGCGTCATATATTTTGAGAACTGAACATGCTGTAAGTATGAGGACTGCCTGTACTATTTTTTAAACTTACAATTTTATATTAAATTTTATTCAAACTGAACTATAATGCATCAAATGGTGTTTTTAGTTGTTCCCATACAGCAACACATCAAAATTACCTTTCACAAAGATTTTAAAATATTTTCAAGTACGCGTACAAAATATTTGTTTTAATTAAGAAAATCGTAGTTTCACATTTCATTTTCGTCTTAAGAGATGAAAATAGCATTTTTGTATTGACTAACACATGAGAAAATCATTAATTTTTTTTCTAATTATCATGTTGATGCAGAAGGAAGGTGTAATTAAATATTAATATGATAGAATCAAATTAATTTCCTCAAAAGATTAAATTTTTAATAACAAATTGAAATTCTTAAAAACTGTGCTAATAACCAAATCCGTAAAACAAAAAAGAGAAAATTTCATGTATTCCAATATTATCTAAAAATTAAAGAGAACAGGTAACAAATTTAACATTAGAACAGTTTTTCAGACAACTAGTTTTTAAATACTTTTTTTAACACTGTTCAAAATTAAAGAAATTCATGGTAGCAATCCCGGTCTAGTTCACGATGAATTTAAGTATATGAAGCAAGAGCGATTTGAATTTGGATTCGTGAAATTGGATCTTTGTTGGCTGCAAATATTCAAAGATGTAACGATACAAAAAATATATCTAGTTATGGAAGTAGATGAGCAGACAAAATTTAAACTGTAAAATTTATAAAAAAAAAGTCAGTTCAAAAACTAAAACCGATCAATTTAAAAACGCAAGTTATAATAAGTGGAAGCGCACATGACAGACAATCGGCAGCCAATAATTTTTTTTATTTTTTTTAATAATAAGACTATATTCGTGCCTTTTTGTAGGTATGCGTGATTAGGGTGCTTCATTTGAAACGTACATTTCTTTTTTTCCTTCCATTGACGAAATATTTTTCGATATTGGAAAAAATATTCTCATCAAATTTCAGCCTTTAATTTTAATTTTTAGTACTGACTATTTGATTTTAAAATTTTGCTATTCATATAACACGTAAAACTTTTTTTTTAATTGTGTATCTATATCTCAGCTGCATTTCATGTTATTTTATTGTCCATAGGCGATAATTATAGGGGAATATTTGTTCTTTGAAAGTGCCCATAGTAGGATCTATGCGACTTGGAACGGTTTCACTGCTAAAATATTTAAATTTTTATCGATTTTTGCATTTTTCTCATAAATGACTAAATTTACAGCAAAAACATAAATGACATTTTTATAGGAAATTAAATTTGCTATAAAAAAAATCCTCAGTATCTAAGCGGTAAAGTTCAGTGCTGGATTTGCGGGGGGGCTAGTGCCAGGGCGGCAAATTCCCAAGGGTGGCAAAATTCGGACCTTGAGAAAAACATTTTTTTTTGCGCTATCAAAAATACAATAAATTTATATATTTATCTAAAAACATATATAATTATAAAATCATTTATAACTATATATAATTTATTAACAATATAAAATATGTAATATATGCTATTATATAAAATTATATATAAATTTATATGCGTATATGTATATAAAATTATCTTTAATTTTTTTCCCCGGGTAATTATTTTAGTTCAAATTACANTTAGCTTCCTATGATCTCAAAACGTCGAGATCTGATGAATACTCGATTTTCGAAAATCGGCCTGAAATCAATAACTTCCCAATATATAGTTTAGTTTATATAGCGGAAAGACAAAAAGTATTCTGAACCCCCAACCATTTTGTGTAGAATATGGGTAATGGGGCAGCATTTTTTTACGGTGCCCAGGGGGGCACTAAAGGAAAATCCGGCCCTGGTAAAATTATTAATTCATGAGATAAATAGAATCAAATGTGTGAAAACTTAAAATATCCTTGTTTTATCGCTATAGGATATATTAAATTTTCACATATTTAATTCAATTTATCTCTTGAACTAATAACTGTACAGCTTAAAAATTGAGGACATTTTTTTATAGCAAATTAAATTTCCATTAAAAATGTCTTTTACGTTTTTGCTGTAAGTCTAGTCATTTATGAGAAAAATGCAAAAAGTAAATAAAAAACATTAAAAAATTTTTTAGGAGTGAAAACGTTTACGTCACATGGATCCTACTATGGGCATTTTCAAAGAACAAAGATTCCCCTATAATTATCGCCTATGGACAACAAAATAAAATGTGAAATGCGGCTAAGATAAAGATAATGAAAAAAAAATTAAAAATAGGTTTACATGTTCAATGAGCAGGAAAATTTTAAAACAATAGCGAGTACTAAAAATTAAAATTAAAAGCTGAAATTTGGTGAGAATTTTTCCCCCAATGTTTAGACAGCGGTTGGCAACTGGCGGACCACGGTATAAGTCCGGACCGCAGAAGGTAAACAACTGGACCGACAAAAATTTTTTTTTAAATTTTATCAAATATATTATTTCAAAAATATTTTTCTGTAGATATGCCAGTGGCAGTTTCTCCAGTGACAGAATATGGCTGCGAAGTTGTTTCGCCTTTTAAAGCCTTTACTCCAAATGGAGATAATAGACTTGCAGGAAGACATTTCCTTGGAAACTTATAAAACTGCATTCGCCGAAGAATTTTAGAGAAAACGTCCCAGAAAAATATGGAAATTGCAAAAAATGTGCCATTTACCTGGCTACTATGTTTGGCTCCACGTGTTTGTGAAACTTCATTTCAAGAATAAATTTTTTGAAAAACCAATATCGCTCAAGATTAACGACAGCCACCTTGAAGAAACTCTTCGCATAACATGCGTGAACCTAACTAAAAAACTGGCTTAAAACCGCAAATGTAATTTCTCCCACTGATTTTTGAATACAATTATTTTGTGAGTGCAAATTAAAATAAGAAATTAGTAAGGAATACGAGTTTTTTTCAGGACCTCGTTAAAAATTTTCAAAAATATCCGGACCTCACCTAAAATTACTTGACCTCTCGTTTAGGACAATATTTCATCAACGGAGCGAAAAAAAAAGAAATGTACATGTCGAACAAAGCGCCCTAATACGTGATAGCGTTTTATCATTTAGCGACAAAATCGTAGGCCCGTCTTTCATGCACGTACTCATTGAAAATGAAATGATGCATATTTTTTGTCTCCTTTTTTCATTGAAATTCCTGGTTTCATAAAAACCACCCTTAACCGGTCCCATTGGTACAAGAGTAAATTCATTTTAAACCTTTTTTCATGGGTGGCAAAATATTCAAAGAAATACAGAAAAAAAGAAATAACTATAAATAAATAATTTTAGACATGCGAGAAAATTACCTGATGCTCGTGCGTGGCTTTAAACTTCTTAAATTTCTTCTGCTCCAGGTTATTCATCTTATTCTTCAATTGTTCTATAGCTGGATCCCCTCCCAGTGTCGGGCCTGTCGCGTTTACCGACAATTCTTCATTCATGGACGCAGTGCTATTATCGTTTTTCTTCATTTTCATATCCTGATTTTTCCTAACCTTTGGCTTCATCGGCGTACCGTCCGGATTAAGTTTATTTTTGTTTTTTATAACAACCGAATTCCTCCCCCTCAACGAGATGTGTAAAGGCGGAACACGTAATTCCTCACCGGCGGTAGACATCATAGAAGCGGCGGCCTTCTTAGGTTGAGTGTTAATAAAGCTCACGTCGACTTTGTAAGCGGGATTGATCGGTTCGGATTTCTCCAGTTTCAAGCGCAACTTGATCTTCTCCTGTTTAAGGGCAGGCGAATCGCGCCCACGGTCCCTCACCTTCGGGTTTTTTAATCTCGGTTTTATCGCATCGTTGGAACGCGCCTCATTATCACTATGATCTGTGGTGGCGTCGGGGCGAGTGGTGGAGCTCGTGTCGTCGTCCGACAAAGCGGCGGGCGACGGTAACCCTGTGAATACATCCTTTAGTTCTTCGGTGTCGCTCTCACCGCCCGAATGGGGCTCCAATTCCCCAGTTAGCGGGTTTATAAGAAATTTTCTGTTATCCTCTACGGCAGGCGCAGCGGAGGGCGGTGTCGATATTATATTTGAGGGTACGTTTAGGAAATCCTCCGGCAATTCCGGGAGAGGGCTGTGGGACAACTCCCTTTCCAAAGTGGGTAGTAACTCGTCCAGAACGTCAGGTTTTAAATCGGTGATGGATGGTGTTAGATCCAAGATAGAGTTGTTGCTGTGCACCAGCGTGTCCCAAGGACGGGATATCGCCACCGAGTAAGGAGGAGGCGATGGCAAACTCCTGGACATGACGCTATTTAAGCTTGGTTGCGATTGGGTGGGGATGCTGACTGAATTTGTAACCGAATCTGTGGAGTTGGATAGGGACGCAGTGGATATAGCGGAAAAATTTGAAGACAAGGTGGTAGTTTGAGAAATAGCATTCGGCTGAGACAATGAAGTATTAAGTGCGCTGGGTTGTGAGAAATTACTTGCTGGATTTTTGATGGGACGTGATAGAAAGCTATTAACGTTCTTCGTCACAGATATTCCTTGAGGCAAGGGACTCTTCAACTGCGATAAAACACTGATATTCGGAGGCTGAGGTAACAAGTTATTCAGTAACACATTCTTCGTCTGGGGCGCGGGAAGGACAGAATGGGCCGCGGCTTTCATTTGGGGCAAAGTAATGTTGGTCACCGAATGATTCTTCGATAGATTTTGCTGAGATAAAGGGATGTTTGACTGCGGTGGAGATAAAACGGGTTGAGAAATGTTTTGAGATGACACGCTGTTTTGTGCTGGATGATTTATTTGCGGCAATGGATTTTTTGTTTGGGATTGAGAATGAAAAATGTTTGTCTGGGTAATATTACTAATTTGGGACACAGGCGAACAATTCTGCTGAGACAAAAGACTGGTCTGGGTCAACGAATTGACCTGGGAACTGATCGACGTGGCATTTGTTGCATTTGAAAATCCTGACAAAGGCTGCTGTTTCACCTGTAAAGAAAAAAGAGGCACTATTTAGTACGTTAAATTATGATTTGGTTAATAGGCATCAAATATTTTCAGGTAACCTCATACAAATAAGAATAATTTTCGTTTTGTTATTAAATAAATCCCAGTACTTTATCCTCATTATTTTTCTCAAGCAAACGAAATACATGAGGCGTTTTCTAAGTTCACGTCATAACTTCTTCAACCATATCGTAGGTTCTTTCTTGGATGAAAAAGCCTTAATGAACCATGAATCCATTATACTATATCAGATCCTTTATTAAATTTCTTAAGGAGGTTTATCGGGTACGTCTAAAGTCAAATGAGAGTTTCTGTAGATTCGCTAGTGACTAAAGTAGTAAGCCTTTAGATTTGGTAACGTTGCACTTGGCTGGCCCGCTCGGCTCGGGTTCGCTCGCTCGCGTGCTATCATTCTGTTTGTCTGAATGCGAATTACAAATAATACGCTATGTCGAGAACAGCGACGTTGCCGCTATCACACATACGGTAGTTAAGTTAGTCAACGACAGCAGTTTGAAGGAGAATTATTATAAATTATGTACCTTACAAGTACCTAATCAATTTCTACGAGCTGTCATACGGTTCCTTAGATATCAGTTTTCTATTTATACAAGCTGCTGTTGAAACTGTTCGTCAATTGTTGCACATTCTAAGTGGAAAGACCAAAAAAATCTGCATTCTCAAAAGATTTCGTACTAAATTGTGAAAAATTATTTTATTAATATCTCGTCTCTTAGGTATCCAAACTAATTTTTTTTTGAGGATTTTCTTCATATTAATAAGTTTATATTGATTTTTTTATGAATATTTGTTTGTCAATTCCATATCAGATAAACCTCCTTAAGTTTTAGAGTTCTGAAATTTAAGTCACAGTAACACAAACGGAAAACTTTCCTCTAAATTTTCTCTAATATCGCGTTACCTGAGTTACATGCCACATTTTAATAAAAAGTTTTTTTTAATATTGCTTTTATAAATATTGAAAAATATGGAGCACTTAAGAGTATTTTCGAAACTGGAGAATATTGAGCAATTTCATTAGGACAATCATTTTCAAAAAATATAATGTATCACATTACCAAATTTTATAACAATTATATAATGCAGAACAAATTCGCAAGTCCTTGTTTAAATTTGTTTTTCTTTTCCATTCACATTTCTGCTTGATGAAAATTCTCCTAAAATCAATTCTCAAGGATTTTATAACGCCTGTGCCCCAAAAAAACATTTTTGTCAAAAATAATAAGGGAAAACTTATTATTTTCCAAATTTTTTGTTTCTATTTCTCAGTAAATATTTAATGAAGTATTTTATTATTATCTTGAAAATTATAGTGCCTGCAATAAAATTTGCATTGACTTTCCCCAAATGAAATACATTTTTATATGATTTAATAAAATTATAATTTATGCTCGTTTGAATACGGTAACATCAATATATATACAATTTTCATTTTCAAAGAAAATGGTAATCAGACAAAGATGAGGACATATTTCTCGAAAAATATGCGGAATTTTTGGCTAAATTCTAAAGGTATATTGATCACGAAGTGTTTAGTCTCTGAAATACAGTATTCAAAGCGCCTAAAGACGAACGAATTAAAATTTACAGGTATTTTTTTTCATTATAAGATTAATTAATAAAATGAAGTAGAAACTTTCGGGAAAATGGATAATTTGATAAAAAAACATGAAAGAAATGAAAGAGATGATTTTTATGTAAAAAAATGTAACGTCAAGGAAAATAATGCAAAATTTTACTTCAGCTCTCTGCGTCTTATAAAGAGTAAAAAGCGAAACAGCTGTCTACATTTAGATTTTTTTATTATAGGCGTTTTGAATATATTCTAAAAATCAGTTTCAGGAATTATAACTTGAAACTCTGTATGTAGAAAACTAAGCAACTTATCAATAAGTCTGGTTTATGCAATTTGAGACACCCAGAACACAATGAAAATGGAAATAGATATGTCAACAGAACAGTAGAACTTAGTATCTGGTGACAGCTAATTATAACATGAATTTAAAAAAAAAAATCTGGAAAATTTGAGAAATTTCCTGATGTTTCACCGAAATATTCAGACCTATGAAATTCCCTGATAATTCCAGGGATACTGTATAAAACCTATACTTGAAATAAGAAAATATTCTGTAAACTACTCAATATCTAATTTTTTCGTTAATTTTTTTAACTGAAACAGCGGTACATCAAAAATACTTAGATATTTAGCAATAAAAAGATGAGATCATGCGAACTTACCGTCATAGTGGTCGAGAGAGGCCTGTGATATTGAGGAGGTGGAGTTTTGTTAACCGCCACTGTTGTACTTGTCAGTATGGTGCTATTCTGCCTAATGGAAGTATTTGTTGATAAGGCGCTTGGTGATATACTGTTATTCACTAGCACATTGGCCTGAGTGGAGGTGGGGTTTGGTTTGACAAACGTGGAGTTATTAGAGTTTGTGCTCACTGTCACTGCGGGTGCTACTGGTTTATGCACTGAAACGGGAGGTGTCCGGATAGAACGCGCACTTGCGACTGACTGAGGCAACTTGGAAACATTACTAGACTCTTTGGGTCCGTCGTTCTGTAACAGATTGACCAGCAGGGGGCTCGATATAGTGACGGGCGGGTGTTTGCCCGGATAGGGTGGAGGTAATGCATTGAAGGGCGTTTCTCTGTTACTATGAATTGCCTGGTTCATGCTGGCGAAGGGAAAGGGACCGGCGAAAGCCTTTCCGCTGCTGCTGACATTGTTCGATGTAGCAGCGCTCGTGCCCACCCTTGGAACTACCGAATCTGGTGGGCACACCACATTCGGAGATTTGAATTGCACTTGAGAATTGTTTGGGTTAATTGCAGCGGAACCAGAAGTTGATAAGAAAGAAAGCCCGAGATCTGATTCCCGACGATCTGTGTTGCCTCCATCTAAAAAACACAAAAATAATATAATAACAAATGAGCTGATCTGACAATAAAGTGGACATAGATTAATTACAAAAAGTAAATACCCCAAAATGTCAGTCAAGATTGATTTTTAAGAGAAAAACATAAAGTATAGATATATACTTATGTCACTAAATATTATTATAAAGCCTCGACTTAACAAAATATTGTTGTTTCTGCAATTTTTAAAGTCCAAAATAAATTGTAAAACATTTAAACACAAAAGGACAGAAGCTATTAGAATTTTTTTTAAAGCATGATTTTTTTACGAAAATTTTTAGAATTTAAATTGTCTACAGTAAAATGACGAGTTTTTATTACGGAACTTTTTGGATTAAAATTTATGATTTCTGATTGACCAAATATATTTAATTACTAAAAATATTTAGAATAATGTATATATAGTGTAAGATATTGGGAACACATTATTAACCCAAAATTTTAAGTTGAGATATATTTGTTCTCATTAAAATAAAATTTAAATATATGAACTTAGTTTCATCCAAAAGTGTCTGACATTAAATTTTATGATATTCCTTTATAAGGTAAAAACATGTCATAATTTAACCTCGAATTTAATCAATTCTTTATTACCAAAATATACACAAAATCATATCTTTTTCCAAAGGTACTAATTGTCCCTATATATCAAACACGAATATAAATTATTAATGATAAATATTCAGAAATTTTGAGTTTATATATTTCCAGGGCAGTTTAGTTTTAAAACAAACCATCCAATATAAGTACATTGACTATAGCTAAATCAAATAAGACTTTTACACAAACTGTTTTTTTCTGAAAAATTTCTTTAGAAAAATAATTGTATGCAGGTACTTACCCTGTGCCGTTCTCAAAATGATTTCTTGAGGTTCAGAATTTACAGCACCTGTGGCTAATCTGAGGGAAATAACTTGATCTCCTTCGATCTGTACACTTAATATACCGAGGGCTCTAAGCTGTTGTGAGCCCTCGTTAGCCAGTTGTCTGAGGCGTAACGCTGCTTCACGAGGAATGGACAGCGTTACACGGACTGAGTTCCAGGGCTCCAGCTTGCGTACTTTAACCTGGTCACCCAAAATATCATTCAATCTGCCCACTACAACGTCTAACTGTACCGGGAACTTGGGATCTGAGAGGTTCCCTTCGCAGGTCAATACAGTTGTAAGTTCAGTATGACCATCACTATTTGCTGCCATCTAAAATCGGCATGGCGATCCGCGCCACTAAGCACAGGCCTAATTACCTAGGTAACCTTTTATATTCCGCCATCCAGAGCACTATAGGCACCTAAAACATAACAACATTAATTACCTCCACGGAATTCCTTACACGCCACTGGACTACTAGTAACAAAAAGCACTTAAATATCGGCGAATTATGAAAAATACAAGACATATTTAATTATAACGGGCAAAATCTGACCGATGTATGTGAAATCTTTCGCATTTTAAGCCACTAAAAGACACCAATATCACTAATAAAAAGATGGATCTGATCGCAGCCATCTTGTGCGCTAGACGGGGGAGTGTTATTCCATGTGTTCGAATGCAAAAATAACCGTCTACAAAGGCAGGAAGGCATTAAAAATGTCCCATTTTTGTACATCAGAGATTAAATTATCACACTTCCAAGTTTCCATTCGCGCTCTCATACATAAGTCCTAGTATTTATTACGGAAATTGATTTGCTTACGGCAAAGAAACATTATATACCCCATTTTATGTGACATACTTTTGACACTCAGATGCAGAATCCAGCTGGAAAGTCTATTGTAGCACTTAATTAGTTAAACTATATGATCACTATTTTGTACAATTTTATGCAAAAAGACTGTAAAAACACTCATAATCTTATTACAAATAATTAAACGCTTTCAACAATAACAACTTGACGCCATTCGCAATGCGTAAACTGGATGCGCACTAGAGCTACTCGAAATCGAACCATCACGACGACGACGGGAAGAAATATTTTTGACAGATCGTCGCGCAATTAATGGATAATGGAAACGGAAAAATACAAAAATATTAAATAATTGGTTTTAAAATCTATTGGGAATTATTATGGGAAACATTTTAGGAAACCCAACTATCTCCAAAAAAAAAACCTGCACTTTGTTCTGAGATACGGAAATCCCAAATTTTTTCTTTTTGATATCAATGAATGCTCAGTAGGTACTACGTGGATACTATAGAACTTTAAGTTGCTAAATTTCGTAAAAATTAATTTGTTAAATAAGTGAAATATAAACCAATATTATATAATACAGCATTTTCAAATTTTGCCCGTCATTCAAATGTATATACCTACCTATACTCCCTATATCTTCAAATGTAAGTAGGTAATTCATCACATATCTAGACAAATCAATGTAAGATTACTTACACACGTTATACATATTGCCTAACACATTTGCAAGATAATTTTCTTACGAATTCTTTTAATATCATTTTCTAACTAAAAAATCATTTTCACTTATTTGTTTTTACTACGAGTCGAAGAAAATCAGTAACAGTAAGGTTTGATTAGCTTTATCAAAATCTCATTGCTTTTGGTTCAAATATGAATTAACATCAGTGTTAACTTCATTGATAATATGGAGCTCGATTCCCTAATTTTTGGAACAACCATAAATAAAAATATACATCTGGATAATTTGCTATGGTAATGCTTGAAAGTATAAAAATGTAATAATTTTTGTTAAATTATTTTATTTAATAAGAGATTCAATAATAATCTAAATGGAACTATCTTCTTTTTATAATAATTCAATTATCGGGTTCACACGAATCAAATAATCCTTTATTCCTTATTTGGTTGAATGCCTTCTCAATATCATAGTTCCTACAAAATATAAATTATTATTTTTGTTTCAACATAAGCCTTACTCTAAAACAGACTTGTAAAAATCAGCATAAACTTTTATACGCCCATCATTGTACAGAAATTTTTGTACTACAGCTGCAGCCGCAGCTACAGTAGCAGCTACGATAATGTTTCGTCTAATTTGACTCTGCAAAAGACCACGCAATTGTGGTTTTGAAGCTTTACCTACTTCTCCAGCCATGTTCTAAAAAATAAATTAAACCCAATTTTAACCATTACCACAACCATTACATAACATTATTTTTAAAATTTATCAGAATTCTTTAAATGGTAGAAAATAAATATGAATAAACAATTAAAAAAATGTATATATTAATCTCACAATTTTAAGTTTATTCCACTAAATTACACAAATTAGATTCGAGTTTGGGCAGATCTAATAAACACTAGCTACTCTAGCTAGACATCAATTGACAATTACTGATAAATGTGACAAAAACGAATGTAACTAAAACAAGCAACNTAGCGGAAAGACAAAAAGTATTCTGAACCCCCAACCATTTTGTGTAGAATATGGGTAATGGGGCGGCATTTTTTTACGGTGCCCAGGGGGGCACTAAAGGAAAATCCGGCCCTGGTAAAATTATTAATTCATGAGATAAATAGAATCAAATGTGTGAAAACTTAAAATATCCTTGTTTTATCGCTATAGGATATATTAAATTTTCACATATTTAATTCAATTTATCTCTTGAACTAATAACTGTACAGCTTAAAAATTGAGGACATTTTTTTATAGCAAATTAAATTCCCATTAAAAATGTCATTTACGTTTTTGCTGTAAGTCTAGTCATTTATGAGAAAAATGCAAAAAGTAAATAAAAAACATTAGAAAATTTTTTAGGAGTGAAAACGTTCAAGTGGCATAGATCCTACTATGGGCACTTTCAAAGAACAAGATTCTCCTATAATTATCGCCTATGGACAATAAAATAACGTGAAATGCAGCTAAGATATAGATAATGAAAAAAAAAAGTAGGTTTATATGTTAAATGAATAGGAAAATTTTAAAAGAAAATAGCGAGTAGTAAAAATTAAAATTAAAGGCTGAAATTTGGTAAGAATTTTATTCACAATGTTTAGACAGCAGTCAGCAACTGGCGGACCACGGTCCAAGTCCGAACCGCGGAAGGTAAAAAACTGGACCGCCAACATTTTTTTTAAAGTATAAATTACTCAAATATATTATTTAAGAAATATTTTTCTGTAGATATGCCAGCAGCAGTTTCTCCAGTGGCAGAAGGGACCGATATGCTGCGAAATTGTTTCGCCTTTCAAAGTTTTTACTCCAAATGGAAATAATAGACTTGCAGGAAGACATTTCCTTGCGAACTTATAAAACTGCATTCGCCGAAGAATTTTAGAGAAAACGTCCCAGAAAAATATGGAAATTGCAAAAAATTTGGCATTTACCTGGCTACTATGTTTGGCTCCACGTGTTTGTGAAACTTCATTTCAAGAATAAATTTTTTGAAAAACCAATATCGCTCACGATTAACGACAGCCATCTTAAAGATACTCTTCGCATAACATGCGTGAACCTAACTAAAAAACTGGCTTAAAATCGCAAATGTAATTTCTCCCATTGATTTTTGAATACAATTATTTTGTGAGTGCAAATTAAAATAAGAAATTAGTAAGGAATACGAGTTTTTTTCAGGACCTCGTAAAAATTTTCAAAAATATCCGGACCTCACCTAAAATTACTTGTCGGCCTCTCGTTTAGGACAATATTTCATCAACGGAGCGAAAAAAAAAGAAATGTACATGTCGAACAAAGCGCCCTAATACGTGATAGCGTTTTATCATTTAGCGACAAAATCGTAGGCCCGTCTTTCATGCACGTACTCATTGAAAATGAAATTATGCATATTTTTTCTCCTTTTTTCATTGAAATTCCTGGTTTCATAAAAACCACCCTTAACCGGTCCCATTGGTACAAGAGTAAATTCATTCTAAACCTTTTTTCACGGGTTGCAAAATACTCAAAGAAATACAGAAAAAAAGAAATAACTATAAATAAATAATTTTAGACATGCGAGAAAATTACCTGATGCTCGTGCGTAGCTTTAAACTTCTTAAATTTCTTCTGCTCCAGGTTATTCATCTTATTCTTCAATTGTTCTATAGCTGGATCCCCTCCCAGTGTCGGGCCTGTCGCGTTTACCGACAATTCTTCATTCATGGACGCAGTGCTATTATCGTTTTTCTTCATTTTCATATCCTGATTTTTCCTAACCTTTGGCTTCATCGGCGTACCGTCCGGATTAAGTTTATTTTTGTTTTTTATAACAACCGAATTCCTCCCCCTCAACGAGATGTGTAAAGGCGGAACACGTAATTCCTCACCGGCGGTAGACATCATAGAAGCGGCGGCCTTCTTAGGTTGAGTGTTAATAAAGCTCACGTCGACTTTGTAAGCGGGATTGATCGGTTCGGATTTCTCCAGTTTCAAGCGCAACTTGATCTTCTCCTGTTTAAGGGCAGGCGAATCGCGCCCACGGTCCCTCACCTTCGGGTTTTTTAATCTCGGTTTTATCGCATCGTTGGAACGCGCCTCATTATCACTATGATCTGTGGTGGCGTCGGGGCGAGTGGTGGAGCTCGTGTCGTCGTCCGACAAAGCGGCGGGCGACGGTAACCCTGTGAATACATCCTTTAGTTCTTCGGTGTCGCTCTCACCGCCCGAATGGGGCTCCAATTCCCCAGTTAGCGGGTTTATAAGAAATTTTCTGTTATCCTCTACGGCAGGCGCAGCGGAGGGCGGTGTCGATATTATATTTGAGGGTACGTTTAGGAAATCCTCCGGCAATTCCGGGAGAGGGCTGTGGGACAACTCCCTTTCCAAAGTGGGTAGTAACTCGTCCAGAACGTCAGGTTTTAAATCGGTGATGGATGGTGTTAGATCCAAGATAGAGTTGTTGCTGTGCACCAGCGTGTCCCAAGGACGGGATATCGCCACCGAGTAAGGAGGAGGCGATGGCAAACTCCTGGACATGACGCTATTTAAGCTTGGTTGCGATTGGGTGGGGATGCTGACTGAATTTGTAACCGAATCTGTGGAGTTGGATAGGGACGCAGTGGATATAGCGGAAAAATTTGAAGACAAGGTGGTAGTTTGAGAAATAGCATTCGGCTGAGACAATGAAGTATTAAGTGCGCTGGGTTGTGAGAAATTACTTGCTGGATTTTTGATGGGACGTGATAGAAAGCTGTTAACATTCTTCGTCACAGATATTCCTTGAGGCAAGGGACTCTTCAACTGCGATAAAACACTGATATTCGGAGGCTGAGGTAACAAGTTATTCAGTAACACATTCTTCGTCTGGGGCGCGGGAAGGACAGAATGGGCCGCGGCTTTCATTTGGGGCAAAGTAATGTTGGTCACCGAATGATTCTTCGATAGATTTTGCTGAGATAAAGGGATGTTTGACTGCGGTGGAGATAAAACGGGTTGAGAAATGTTTTGAGATGACACGCTGTTTTGTGCTGGATGATTTATTTGCGGCAATGGATTTTTTGTTTGGGATTGAGAATGAAAAATGTTTGTCTGGGTAATATTACTAATTTGGGACACAGGCGAACAATTCTGCTGAGACAAAAGACTGGTCTGGGTCAACGAATTGACCTGGGAACTGATCGACGTGGCATTTGTTGCATTTGAAAATCCTGACAAAGGCTGCTGTTTCACCTGTAAAGAAAAAAGAGGCACTATTTAGTACGTTAAATTATGATTTGGTTAATAGGCATCAAATATTTTCAGGTAACCTCATACAAATAAGAATAATTTTCGTTTTGTTATTAAATAAATCCCAGTACTTTATCCTCATTATTTTTCTCAAGCAAACGAAATACATGAGGCGTTTTCTAAGTTCACGTCATAACTTCTTCAACCATATCATAGGTTCTTTCTTGGACCAAAAAGCCTTAATGAACCATGAATCCATTATACTATATCAGATCCTTTATTAAATTTCTTAAGGAGGTTTATCGGGTACGTCTAAAGTCAAATGAGAGTTTCTGTAGATTCGCTAGTGACTAAAGTAGTAAGCCTTTAGATTTGGTAACGTTGCACTTGGCTGGCCCGCTCGGCTCGGGTTCGCTCGCTCGCGTGCTATCATTCTGTTTGTCTGAATGCGAATTACAAATAATACGCTATGTCGAGAACAGCGACGTTGCCGCTATCACACATACGGTAGTTAAGTTAGTCAACGACAGCAGTTTGAAGGAGAATTATTATAAATTATGTACCTTACAAGTACCTAATCAATTTCTACGAGCTGTCATACGGTTCCTTAGATACCAGTTTTCTATTTATACAAGCTGCTGTTGAAACTGTTCGTCAATTGTTGCACATTCTAAGTGGAAAGACCAAAAAAATCTGCATTCTCAAAAGATTTCGTACTAAATTGTGAAAAATTATTTTATTAATATCTCGTCTCTTAGGTATCCAAACTAATTTTTTTTTGAGGATTTTCTTCATATTAATAAGTTTATATTGATTTTTTTATGAATATTTGTTTGTCAATTCCATATCAGATAAACCTCCTTAAGTTTTAGAGTTCTGAAATTTAAGTCACAGTAACACAAACGGAAAACTTTCCTCTAAATTTTCTCTAATATCGCGTTACCTGAGTTACATGCCACATTTTAATAAAAAGTTTTTTT